ACCCTTCACAGAGGTCGGGAAGGAAGACGGTGCAGGTCCAGAGCCACCATCCCAGGGCACACGGTGGGGCGAGGGAGCAGCTGGAAGGCAGACCCAAGTGGGAACACATTTTCTCCCAGTTCTTTGTCACTGTGAGGGTATCAGCCTTGCAGCAAGGAAAGGCTACAACCCATCCAGAAGATATACATCCAACAAGGATGTAATGGAAAAACAGTACCAACTGCATCTGCTGGATAGTTGGATGGTAATTGCCATCCAGGTAGATGGAGTTGCAGGTGAATTACTAAGCCCTGCTTAAAGGCACCAGGGTGAACAAAGGAACACTAACACTGAGACATGGGTTTCCCAGGGAGAACCAAGCGGCCAGCCGGCGGGTTTCCGTAGTTCTGACTATTCGTTTGATGGACAACCCTTGTCTGCCCATCTTAACTTCCCTGACTCAGGAGCAGATTGCTGCCATATTACAAGGACATCAGGACAGCAAAAGTCTGGCAATGAGGGGGCATCTTTACAGAAGCAGGGTGGACTTCGTATGTGCCATAATCTTTACAGATGTTGCTGCTTCCTTTTGCTGAAAGTCGTCCAGGGCATTTCAAATGCAAAAGGTTAACTTTTACTATTGAGAAGATTCCATTTTCTTTAGTAATCAAAGACCTGATTAAAACAACTTAAATAAAATTATATTTTTATTTATTTTTAAAACGTTGGTATTGATTTCAGAGAGGAAGGAAGAGGGAGAGAGAGAGATAGAAACATCAATGATGGGAGAGTATCATTGTTTGGTGGCCTCCTGAATGCCCCACATTGGGAATCAAGCCTGCAACCAGGACGTATGCCCAGACTGGGAATTGAACCATGACCTCTTGGTTCATAGGTTGATGCTCAACCACTTAGCATGCTGGGCCAGAAAATTATTTTGCAAAAATATAGAATCCTTGTTTTCTAAGCAGAAAACTTTTTATAATATCAGGAGCAGACCCCAAATCCAACAAAACAAAACAAAACAAAAACACCCAAAAAACAAACAAAAGCTTTGTCTTTTTAACTGAGAAAAAGAGAACCAAACTCTGTTACTTAATTAAATCCATTTTAATCTTGGCAAGCTTGACCACACATTAAATATAATTTTCTTCAAAAGCTTCTTTTCATAAACCTTCTACAGTTATTGCTAAAGCAATCACTTAAAGGCCTTTTATTCTACTTAAATCTATTTTATTATTTCTTAACAATTATATTTAGATTACCCACAAAACTTGATGAGACTTTAGATAAAATCAGCCTTCATTATAAGTTATTTTTTGTTGATATATTTATAAGCCTAGGTAAAACAAAAGGTAAAGATATATTTGTTTTAATTAAACTAGCAAACTTAAGGTAGTTTTAATATCAGATATTTTCCTAAGTCTCTTGATCATGAAAAGCATTTAGGTTGGTTTCTATATTTCTGACAATTTTAGAATATTCAATTCTTAATTTAGTGCTTAAATCCTTTAAACCAATTAAAGTTCTTTTACCAGTCAGCAATACCACTTGAAGATAGAAAATACCACACAAATATTGATACAACATGTGTATAGACATACATGAACATACAAACAGATGGCACACAGAGACCTCCTGGCTTTCAGAGAAGAGTGTGCTCTGCTCAGAGGGTCTTTCCTCCCTCACCTCTGTCAGCCATCCTGAGCTAACAGAGTGTAGACATTCCAGTGTCTTTTTCTAGTTTCAGTTCTCCTCCTACTTTGCTAACTCTGGCTTCTCGCTGGGTGACAGTGGCCAGTCAAACCACCCATAATAGGCACCAGCCTACGGCCATAACTTCTCCTGCCTTGACACAGATGTTTGAGACCATCTGGCATTTTGGGGGCATCACTGTAGTCACACATGTATCGAGTATAGGGGCCACCCCACATGAATGTACTAGTATATGTCCTACCTGGGATTTCCCCTACAGATGCCCTTTTCCCAAAGCCCGCTTTTTTTTTTTTTTTTTTTTTTTTTTTTTTTTTTTTTTTAAAGAGATATATTTTATTGATATTTCACAGAGAGGAGGAAGGGAGAGAGATAGAGAGCTAGAAACGTCGATGAGAGAGAAGCATCGACTAGCTGCCTCTTGCACACCCCCCACCGGGGATGCGCCCGCAACCAATGTACATGCCCTTGACCGGAATCGAACCTGGGACCTTTCAGTCCGCAGACCGACGCTCTACCACTGAGCCAAACCGGCTTCGGCCCAAAGCCCGCTTTTTGTTGTTGTTTGTTTTGTTTTTGTTTTGTCTGCTGCCTGGCTTGCAATTGTTAGTCATACTCAAACCCTGGAAAAGCCCAGAGAAAGAAAATGTACCTCTAAAGTGGAGGACAGAGAAAAAGGCAAAGAAATAGGCTGGCCACTCCAGTTTGGCAATTAATAGAGTTTATTAAGGGAAATTTAATCTTGGAGACATGACCAGGGTGGCTGCAAGGCAAAATCGATTCCTGCAGCCACTTGGCAGGTGCCAAAGGATTATATAGAGCAAAGAGGGGCAGGGGCGAGGGTAGTCACAGTACGGTATGCGGATGCCAGCAGGTGTGGGCAATCACATGCTTGTCCATGTCAGGACAGCAGCCTGTTCCAGGAACTATCATGAAGTGGAGGCAGGGGCAGGGATGCTGATTTATGTCAGAATAAACATCAGTTCCCATCAGTCTCTAAGTGGTTGCAGTAAGCAGCCTCCCTCTTCCGGCCCCGGGTCCAGCTTGTGCGTCCAAATAATGTAATTATGGGACAGTCTCTCTGCCACACTGTACGGTTAGAAAACAAACAACAGTAAAATTCCCAAACATGCTCAGCACGTGTTTTTGTGTCCTGTGTTGTGCCATTTGTGACAGATGCCTGTCATTTTGGTGGTGTGCTCTCAAGCGTAAACACATGAGTTAAGGGGATTGTTTGATAAAATGTAGATACTACATGTGGTTTCCTCCATTTTAAAAATATGTGGGGAATGATGATAAATGCATATTTGGCCCCCAGGTTGGAAGAGGTGGACAGAGTTACTTAAGGTCCCCACAGCTGGGAATTATGTGGAGTTGGGCCATGAATCCTGTCTTCTGATTTTCAACCGATGTTGATGCTGCTCAGGGATTATGTATACTAAATTAAAAGTTTGTGTAAACCACGATTGCTCTCCCCAGACATAGCATTCATTTTTAACTAATTTATCACAGTGGAATGTGGGGTGGTGGCTGTCTTAATAGCAGTGGGAAACACCAGCTGCCACTGGGAGGCAAGATTGTCAGCCTTGACTGGATAGTCCCTACAGGTTAGCACACAGCCCACGTGCTCAGTAATTCCAGAGGTCTCGACTCGAATAGAGCACAGCACAATTATGACATTTGTTAAGAAGATGTTCATTATCAAGGAAAGTTTAAATTATGTTCAGGGATGATTTATTTTAAGAGCTCCATTTACACTTATTTTTACCATGAAAAGGGAGGCAATATTACATTATTTGGAAATGCATGCAACCACATTTGCACATTCTACGCTGCATTATCCTGATTGAGGGTAGGAGTGAGAGGAGCGGTACATGCAGTTGTCCAGATGAACAAGAAATGTATTAAGAGATGAAAGGGAGATAGTATACCTGTTTAAAGTCACAATAATTGAAATAAAAGATCTATTGTGGAACCATCCTATATAATAAAAGGCTAGAATCAAAATTGTTCCCTCAACCAGGAGCTCGACCAGGGGCAGGGCCAACCACCCTCAGCCCCTTCTCCTGGCTGGCCTGGCCCAATTGACTCAGATTGGGGTGGGCCGGCCTGACCCAACCTATGCACATATTTGTGTACCAGGCCTCTAGTATATACCGTATTTTTCGGACCATAAGATGCTCCGGACCATAAGACGCACCAGTTTTTAGAGAAGGGAAATGAAGAAAAAAAGATTCTGAAACAAATAGTGTCCTAAAATATTTTATGTGCATTAAAACCCAACATCACAGTAATAAACACATGTAATCAACCCTGTAAAGTAAACAGCAGCATTTAGAACCATTTTAGAGCCGGGCAAGCACACAGAGACCACACAGAGCTGGGCAAGTAAAAAAACTTTTTTTTTTAAAGTATATGTGTAGGCTATATTTGAACCATAAGACGCAGGGACTTTTTCCCCCCCACTTCTGGGGGGAAAAAAGTGCGTCTTATAGTCCGAAAAATACGGTAATAAGTTTGTCTTTTGCATTTAATTGCATGTGGAAATGAGGACTTATTTATTTCTATCTTTGAAATAAAAGTGGGAACTACATAAACATGTTTTGGGTTTTAAAAATATGTATATTCTCTAAAGTCTTTTTTTTTAATTTAAGGATTATATCAAGGTTTTTCTGTCTACAAATGTGTGATGAACTACCATACGACATTTAATACAAAGCACGTAATTAGCTGAATTTACCTGTGCTAAGATATTGAAAAATCACATAGGTGCATCTAAAGGTGTAACAAAATTGAGGATATGGGAAATACTTTTAATAGCACTTTTATCCATATTTTATAAAATTAGAAAAAGGAATTGTAAAAATTGTAATGCATAACACTTAAAAGTCATTTCAAGGACTAAAAATATTTACATCTTAAGGTATACATTCACTTTCTATTGAGAGAGAGAAAAATAGATACTCATTAATGCTTCTGAAAAAAGCTTTCAAATTTCAGTATAAAATTTTGTTCTGAGTGAATGTTTTTCTTTCTTATCCAACATGAGAAAGTAGTAAGGAGCCACTAGCTTTGAAACAATTTAGCTGTTTATTGGGTTACGCATACATTATGTTGTGTTGATAAAAGAGACTGAGGAAGGACAGAGCAAAATTCTCTTTCTGCACATTTAGTGGGCATTTTGAAAATAATCTGCCTACACCGTTTTCTTCTAATTTTCTCTTTTTATATGTTTATTCACAAGTACTTATATTTGAGCCATTGGAAAAACACTGTGTAACAGTCTTGCCCTTGGACTTGTGTTTCAGGAGAGCCAGCCATGAGAGGCTACCTCGTGGCTATATTCCTGAGTGCTGTCTTCCTCTACTACGTGCTGCATTGTATATTATGGGGAACAAATGTCTATTGGTAAGTTTAATTTTTGCTATTTAAAAATAACTTCCAAACTGGTCTTTCACACAGACACACAAATGATATTAGAGGGACCTATTAAAATCGCCTGTAACATTTTGAAACTTTTTAAGCTTTCCATTATAAACTAGAGTTTTATCATTCTATAATAGTACCCTGTATGTTTTATCTCTAATAGTTTTAAAAAATGATAAGCAAACACCGGCTTATCTTCACTTTCTAGTGAAGCCATGGTGTTGACCATCTTTGGGATATAACTGTCTTCATCTAATATTTCATCTTCTTGAATTGATGGAGTGATTCTTGTACTCAGAGATACTCGACCTTTCTGCCTGAAATGCTTGGATGAGATTGTTTGACAAAATGTAGATACTTCATATGTTTTCCTTTGTTGAAAATATTTGAAAATATTTGATGAATGATAATATCTGTGTATTTTTTTTTAACAACTTTGAGTTAAAATGTCACATATAAAACTTTGAAAAGGTAAAGGTAGTTTTATTGCCAAGAAAACTCCTCTAATAGGATTTTTACTCTTTTCCGCATTCTCAGTCCTTTGAGAAAAAAGTATTGATGACCTTTAAATCCAGAATGGATGGTAATATATTTTATCAAAATAAACCACACAACAACTTCCTGTCTTAGACAAAGTTTAGCTCTTTTTGCAAGTGTTTCTATAGTAGATCCTAGATCATGTTTCTAGCCTGTGTTTACTATATACAAACATAAACTGATACCTCTGGATTTAATCATCACTGGTTGATTGAAAAACAATTGTAATACTCTTCATGAAAGGATGTTAAACAAATAAATTGTCACCAGAAGAGCCCCAATGCTAGGTAGATGGCTTTAGCCATACTTTTTAGGCTTTGGACTAAAATATTTAGCTAGAGAACTTAGTCTGATTATATACTACATGAAAATTATGCCACAGGAATCTCCTTCCATCTCCACCACATACTGTCTCTGTCCCACACTTACTAAACAAAGACAAAAACAAAAGAGAAGAAAGCTTACTAGATCAATATTTACTTCCAAATACATTGCTGTCCTAGGAGAAATGGTGAAGACAATGAACTGTCTGAATTCATCTGTCATTGTTTTAATTATAGCTGATTTCTGATTTTATGCTATTGTGCTCAGAGAAGATGCTTAAGATTTCCACCTTCTTGAATTTGAAGAGACTTTGCCTGTGTCCTAATATGTGGTCTATCTTGAAAATGTCCCATGTACACTTGAGAAAAATGAACATTCGGTAGCTCTGGTGTGAGGTGTTCTGATGATGTCAATTTCATCTGATCTAGTGAGGCATTTAGGATTGCTGTTTCTTTGATGATTTTTTTGTTTAGAGGATTTATCCAGTAGGGTATTAAAGTCCCCTATTATGATTATATAAATCTATTGCTGTAGATTCATCCCTTGATATATTACAGAAATATATATATATATATATATATATATATATATATATATATATATATATATATATATTTGGGTGCTCCTATATTGAGTGCATATATGTTTACCAGAGTTATATCCTCTTATTGTATCAATCCCTTTATTATTATGAAGTGGCCTTCCTTATCTCTAGATATGGCCTTCACTTTGAGGTCTATTTTGTCAGATATAAGTATTGCTACCCCTGCTCTTTATTAATTTCCATTTGCCTGAAAATTTTTCCCCCATCTCTTCACTTTCAGTCTATGTGAGACCTTTGTTCTGAGGTGGATCTCTTGTAGATAGCAAATATATGGGTCATGTTGTCTAATGCATTCAGCTACCCTATGTCTTTTGATTGGAGCATTAAATCCATTTACGCTTAAGATTATTATTAATAAGTACTTGTTTGTTACCATTTTCATTCTTTATGCCTGTGTTTCTTCTTCCCTAAATTTCTTCTTTTTACAGCAGTCCCTTTAGCATTTCTTGCATTGCTTTCTTGGTGGTAATAAACTTCCTTAGCCTTTTTTTGGATACTAATTCTTGAATTCAGTCCCTTGCTTTGCATCACTTTGTATTTTTCATTCCATTCCCTTTGGCTTGATGTGTTTCTGTTGAGAAATCAGTTGATATTCTAATGGAGATCCCTTGTCAGTAACTTTCTGTCTCTATTTGGCAGCCTTTAAGATTCTCACTTTGTCATTGATGTTTAATTATGTTCTGTCTTGGTGTCACTCTTTTCGGGTACATCTTGTTTGGTTCCCTGTGTGCTTCTTGGACTTGTATGACTTTTTTCTTTTCAATATTAGGGAAGTTTTCTGTTATTATTTCTTCAAACAGGTTTTCTATTCTTTGCTTCCTCTCCTTTTGGAACCCCTATTATATGGATGTGGTATTGTTTTGCATTGTCCCAAAGCTCACTTAGGCCCTTCTTCTGCTTTTTAAGTTTTCTTTCCAGTTCCTGCTGTGCTTGGGTGGTGTTTTATACCTTCTTTTTTAACTCGCTGATGCAATTCTCAGCTTCTTCTAGTCACTGTTGAAACTTTCCATTGCGTTCCTCATTGCAACTATGCCATTCTTCATTTCCTCTTGATTCTTCTTAATTTCCTCTTGATTCTTATACATGTTGTTGAATTAATCTTCCATCCTCTTTAGTGTTCTTATAACCATTGCTCTGAATTCTTTCTCTGACATATTGCTTCCCTCCATTTTGTTTATTTCCTTTCCTGTGATTACTCCTTTTCTTTCATATGGGGGTTTTTCTTTGTCTCCCCATTTTTGCTGTTCCTTTGTGATTGTTACTATGTTTTACCATGTTTCCCCCAAAATAAGACATCCTCCGAAAATAAGACCTAGCGTATGGAAAGATAAGACATCCTCTGAAAATAAGACCTAGCACAAACATTGGGAGAAAAAATTAGTATAAGACACTCTTATTTTTGGGGAAACAGGGTAGATCAAACTGCTATGCCACCCAGATTTTTTGAGTTTGTCTTATATAGTAGATGTTTTGTGGGACTCAGTGGTACAATCTTTCTGGTCTTCTGGGCTGGATAATCTAGGGATGCCCCTTCTTGTGATTTTGGATTCTCTTGGTGTAGTTGGGTCTTGATTGTTATTGTACTGTTGTGGATGGAGTCTTCTCTCAGAGTGTCTGATTATGTGGCTCACTCTATCACATTGACCAAACAGCACAAAATACAACTCGACAAAAATGACACAAAGGGAACAAAACACAAATATACTCACAACTAATAAACTTAACCCTTTGCACTCCGCTGTCCCCTCTCAGGGGACATCGGAATTCTAGCATATCATTCGGATGTCCCCTCTCAGGGGAGATTGCAGTTTATTAGTGATTACGGGGAATTGAGTTTCCACCGCAAAGTAGCGTCAAGTAGCTGGTAGCCAATGTCCAGAATGGTTCGGAGTGCGAAGGGTTAATATAAATGACCACCAGAGAAAAGGAATTAAGAGAGTGAGAAGAAAGCAGAAATAATATGAAAAAAAGGAAAAAGGTAAGACAGCAAAGAGAAAGAAGGAACAGGAAGAAAAAAATATATAGGGAGAAAAACCCCCCACACAGAATAAACAGATAAACCAAAAAAATACAAACAACAAATATCCAGAAAAAAAAAAAAAAAAAAAAGGAGGGGGGCAGAATCTATAGAGGAGAACTTATATACAGAAAGTAAAGTTAAGGAATTGAATGAATAGATGGAGGACCTCAGTTCAGTATAGAGGCATTAGAAAGAGAATGAGTGGATAAGAAAAAAAAGAAAGGGGGAAAATTTAAAGATAAATAAAATAAGAAAAATTAAGATAAAATAGCAATAAAAATAGAATAAAGAAAAAATATGAAAACAGTAAAAAAGAATGAACAAGAAAATAAAGAAGAAAAAATTTAATAAAAGATAAAGAAAAAATAAAATGAAAAAGTGAAGTCTCATTTGTTTCAGCCAAGTTTTAATGCCCCATGGGGGACTGGTTTAAGATCCCACTCTTCTGTTCTGTCTGCCATTTCTCAGTTTCCTGTTAGGTAGTCACCACTGTGCTGAAGTTCCAAGTGATCCACATTGCTCCTCTGTTTGTTTCTATCTCCACAGCCTTGACTGCAACCTGGTGGGACCAGGCTTCCCACTTAGCCTGTCTCCCTGCTGTCAATCTTAATCTCTCAAGTGACTGTTTCTGACAGGGCTATACTAGGGACACTGTTGTATCACTTTCTGGGACCGAAAGACCTCTATTCAATCCAGTCCCTGAGGACTCTTCAGGTCTATTCAGATTTTTTTGTGTCCATTGTTCCACTTAGGGTTTAGTCTCAGTGTGGCTGTATTATCTCCCTTGAGGCTGCTGGGAGGGGCTGGCTTTTCGGAGAAAAATGGCTGCTTTGGTTTGGAGGGTCAGGAATGTCCCAGTCCTGGATTTCTGGTCAACTCTCCCTGATTCACTTTCCTCCACAGCCTTTCCCCAGACTCCACAAGTCCGCACCTCCACCTGAACCACAGCCACGGGTGAGTGTTTGTATTTGAAAGGTCCTATGAACTGGGTTTAGCGAATAAAGCCAAGACCAAACAGAGGCAAAACAACCATGCAACTGCTAGTTTCTTTCCCTGCACACACACACACACACACACACACACACACCCCAGCACTGTTCGGCGCTCTGGCCGTCAGTCAGGCCACCCCTCTGGGCTCAGCCTCTTGCCGTTATGGGCTTAGATCTAGAACCCCCTGCCACCGTCAGCCCTGTGGACTTCTTTCCACAGTCAGGTTTCATGCCTCTCCTCAAGGGACACGGACTTGTTGCAGTGCAGGTTCCTTCTAACCCTCTCGTCCTGGTGCTCACGAGACTTCCTCCAGCCCAGATCCTGATCCTACCATTCTGCAGGTGTCCTCTGCCTTCCCGGCTGTGCATTGTCACCAGCTGTTGTATTGCTCTTACAAAACCTTCTGTGAATGTCAACTTTTTCAGCTTCGAGAGTCCTCCAGTGATTCTCAGTGAGATTTCCTTAAATAGCATTTCCTCAGAAGATCTCAGAGAGCAGAATTGTGTGGCATAATTTTACAGGGTCCATTGGTTGATTTTTATATGTGCCCTGACTAGTGATCAAACCTGTAACCTTGGCATATCTGGATGATGCTCTAACTCACTGAGCTCCCAGCTAGGGCCAGCACAGTCTTTTATAACCAGGATTTGAGGAATGTTCATGTCACTCCTGAGTTAATGCTTTACTCCAGTCGCAGAAAGCACAGTAGGAAGTTACCTCAAATAGATGTTGCTGTGAACTTGCTTCCTTAAAAACTACAGTGGAACCTTGGTTCTCGAACTTAATTCATCCTGGAAATCTGTTCAAGAAGCAATTTGTTTGAAACTGAATCATTTTTTTTTCTCAGTAGAAAGAATGCAAACTGAATTAATTGGTTGCAGACCCCCACATGATTCCCTGTTTTAATCTTCTTTATATAGGAAACATTTCTTTTCTTAAATTTATCAAACCACCCCCTCATAGCCTAAAATGAGTCACTTCCAGCTCTCCTCCCCAGGGTGTCTTTCAGGAGGTCAGTATAGGGCAGTGTTCAGCCAACTCATTAGTCAACAGAGCCAAATATCAACAGTACAATGATTGCAATTTCTTTTGAGAGCCGAATTTTTTAAACTTCTTCTAATGCCACTTCTTCAAAATAGACTCGCCCAGGTCGTGTATTTGTGGAAGAGCAACACTCAAGGGGCCAAAGAACTGCATGTGGCTCGCAAGCCGCGGTTTGCCAACCACTGACCTAACCTATAATTGGCCGCGTGTCAAAATCATGGTTTTGTTATTGCGAAGGCATGATATGCCAGGTTGTTTGAACAGAATTACTTTTTAAGTAATTGTGACCACAAAACATTGTTTTTACATTAGGAGCTGTTCATCATTTGAAACTATTCAAATAATGACTTGATATGAGTTACAAATCCCAGGTTTTTTAATAATAGGGTGCATTGTGCTATTTGGGCGGTAAGGAAGAAGAAAAGAACAATAAGGGGGGGGGAAGCATTGATCTGAACTAACCACCACATGAATTACTTTGCGGCTTTTATTTATGGTAAATCCTCATTTTGGGAGGCAGAGAGCAGCTGCATTCGGAAAAGTGATCCAGTAAATGTATTTTGTTTTATATTTTGTAGCAGTTAGTTATAAACCAGTTAAAAAAAGATCTTTTATACTTGCAGTTGTTGCTTATAGAGTATTTTTGTTCTAAGTTGATTAGCTCTTGCCTTTATTTTACAATGATTAATGTGATAAACTTTTAGTTAGGTTTTCTATAAAAGAAACCAGGTGAAAATGTACATAAAACACAGAAATAGTATACAAAACTATTTAAAAATCAAGTATTTTTCTGCCTAAAATTTGTTTAGCTTAAGACTTCTTCTTAGGGCATTTGTAAAAGCAAGTGAAATTCAATAAGATTTTTGATTATTTTTTTGTGCCCAGAGATAGTTTTTATAATTGAAATAACATTCCAGCTAAACAAAACATTGCTAAATGCTGATATTTAACAAAACATTGCCTCGTATAATTTCTGAAAATTATACTTGTTCTGAAAAAGGTGTAATGAATGCCCTGATGATAAAAAGATTTCACACTTGCACACACAACTATTAAGACAGATTATTGTCTTTTTAAAAAAGTCATCCAAAATTTTTCTTCATGATCTAAAACAGTTCAGTCTGTATCTCTTAGTAACCTTAGAAATTAAGCAGTATGCTTCATTTTGTCCTCCGAATAAAGTTTTTATGACCTGATGTGCTAGTCTACCATATTTATCTATCTTCCTTACATATAAGTCAAGGGATTCCTGCCACTTACGGCATTCACAAAAGTGCCCCTCTGCATAAGGATATTACTGGCCTCAGAGTTCAGGAACCTCGCAGTGCTAGCTAGGAGGATTTGGTATTGCCTCAAAATTGAAAACTGAGTCTATCCATGAGGAGTGCAGGCTGTTGTTTTACTCAGTCCTGTGAATTATAGAAGAAGATGGATTAGTTTTCTTGTTAGATTAATTAATTCATCACATAATGGATGGCCATGAATGTTTTTATAGTAAGCTGTTTTCTGCTTTCCTGACGAAGCCTGGCACCTGCCACCCTATCCCCTTCGCTTGTTTTTGTTTTCTCTGCCTTTCACAATGCCCTTTCAAATTGTGGAGACAAGTGATCCATTCAGGAGACACACAGGCCTCACCTGTGCCAGGCACGGAGGAGAGCTAGGCGTGACTCTGAGCAGTGTGACATGCGGAGTCACCGGATCACGAGGCAGGGTGAGTGCCACCTGCTCAGGCCCGTGTTCCTGTCACAGTGGTAGGGAGGACCCATATAGCCGTGTGCGCTGAGGGTCCACTGAGCTTCTCAGGCATTGGGGGATGTCTGAAAAGAGCCAGTTGTGGCTTCCACAGCACAGTAACCTAGGCCCTTCCAGAGTGCCTTCAATTCACCCTGGGCCGCTCAGTACCTTTCCCATCTCCCTTGCCATGCATCCGGAAATCTTCACATGTGCTCAGGACTTGGAGGAGGTGCTGTCACAGCTCGGGGCTGCTGTGAGGACCTTTGTTTCCTGCCTGAGAGGCGGCTCAGTGGTGGCACCGAGCTCCCAGGGCGTTTGCTTCCCTGTAGTCCCGCTGCCCGGCTCTGCTTTCTGACCAATGCTTTCTGTCTTGCAGGGTGCCACCTGTGGAAATGAAACGAAGAAATAAGATCCAGCAGTGTTCATCAAAGCCAGCATTTGCCTCTCTCCTGAGGTAAACCCATGCAAAGTGGCATGCCAAGTGTTTGGCATGTGTTTGCAATCATTTCCAGTTAACCTGGCTTCCTTCCTTCCCACACAAAGCTTAGCGCTGTAATGCGGACGCCCTACATTTAAGGAAGAGCTTGGAGCTCCCGTCTCCTTTTGTGCGTTAGTCAGAGCCCTGCATACATGTTAAGAAAAGTCACTGAAGGACGCAATCAGACCAGTGTTGCTTTTGCACAGGTGAGATTAGAGAGGTCTATTTGGTTTGATCATAGAAAAGGGAACCGTGTTTTAGGGTTTTATTCCCCCCACCTTCTGTCCCCATTTTATCTTCCTTCCTTATTTGTGGCTTCTTCCCCCTCCCTTGTAGGTTAAGTTTTTCAGTTAAAACTTGCATGGACTATTAATGAACTACACATTCATCTATATAGAATGTAAATGATGACTGTTCATCATGGTTGTCAGGACTTGTAGGGAATTTACTCTTCCATCCACAAATAACTTTTTGCCTCTACCACCTCAATTTTAATAAGCTAGTCAAGATGATCCTAGATAAGGAACAATAAATAATTATCTAGTCTGGGCATGATTAATTGTATAAAATAGGCATGAGGTTGTTTTTTAAAAAAACTTCTTATCTATTGTATTAGGACAAAAATCACATTTTCTGTTTTTTTTTTTTTATTTTATTATATTATTGCACCTTTCCGATACTAGTTCTCTACCTTTTGGAAGCTGCAGATCTCATTAAAATCTCTGGAAACCTGCAGATATATAAACTACTTCTGCATACAGTTATAGGTGAGCCACCACTGCTTGCATTCTGTCCATGGGAGATCTCTGGTTAGGGCCACTAAAAGACTTGAAGAAGATCTTATACTTTTTTTTTTTTTTTTACCATGACCTGTATGAAGAAGTACATTTTACTTTTATAATTTAGTATACATGCATATTTACAATGAGAAGAATTTTTGCTTTTCTTACTCAAGATGCCCTATATTCTGCTCTATTTACTTAAAAAATAGTAAAGAGACTATTTAAGTGTTTGACCTATGAGTCAGGAGGTCGTGGTTCGATTTAAGCATATGCCGGGGTTTCGGGATCCATCCCCAGGAGGGAACATGGAGGAGGCAGACAATCAATGATTCTCTCTCATCACTGATGTTTCTATCTCTTTCTCTCTCTCCCTTTCTCTGAGAAATCAGTAAAAAAAAAAAAAAAAAAAAAAAAAAAAAAGGTGATCATGAGTCACAAAATTGATTTCATGAACCACCTGTGGTTGGCAGACCGAAGCTTTAAAATGCTACTATAGAATCAAGGTATTCTTCAACTTTATATCCTTTCTGAGAAAACCCTAAAGGGTTAAAGCATTTATGTAGCTTTGCTCAGCAGGTTCAGAAGTCCACAGTGTAATGGGCAAGTAGACTTGGCACTTGTCCTGTGAGTTGTACTCACTGGGGGCAGTGTGATCTCCTCTGCAAGGAGGAATCAGGAGCAGCTGTGCTGAGAAACCTGGAGGTGTTGCCTGCAGTGCTGTAAGCAGTTAATTAGTTACTTCACTTCTCATAGCTTCAGTTTCTAAATGGATTCATAGACTTTACCTGCCCTTCCAAGCATTTGTAGGTGTAACAATAGCAGAAATATAATGTAATAATGATACATTATAATATAACTAGAAGCCCAGTGCACAAAATTCATGCATGGGGGGGTCGTCCCCTCAGCCCAGCCTGCACCCTCTTCAATCCCGGACCTCTCGGGGGATGTCCGACTGCCGGTTTAGGCCCAATATGGGATCAGGTCTAAATCATCAGTCGGACATCCCTCTCTCAATCCTGGACCACTGGCTCCTAATCGCTCACCTGTCTGCCTGGTTGCCCCTTACTGCCCCTTTCTCCCCTACTCTTGCCCCCCCCCCCCTCCCACCAGCCTGTCTATTTTAAATGATAGTCTTAATGGATATAGTAATCTTGGTCTCAAGTCCTTGCTTTCCATTACCTTGGGTACTTCATGCTATTCCCTTTTGGCTTGTAGGGTTTCTTATGAGAAATCAGGTGACAGCCTTATGGGAACTCCTTTGTAGGTAACAGTTTTTTCTTCTTTTGCTGCCTTTAAGATTCTCTCTTTGTCTTTAATTTTTGACATTTTAATTAAGATTTATCTGGGCATGGGCCTGTTTGGGTTCTTCTTGTTTGGGGTTCTCTGTGCCTCCTGGACTTGTGTGACTTTTTCCTTTACCAGGTTAGGGAAGTTTTCTGCCCCTTCCTCCCCTACTCTTGCCCCCCCCCCTCCCCACCAGCCTGTCTATTTTAAATGATAGTCTTAATGGATATAGTAATCTTGGTCTCAAGTCCTTGCTTTCCATTACCTTGGGTACTTCATGCTATTCCCTTTTGGCTTGTAGGGTTTCTTATGAGAAATCACCTTCCACCTTCTTTATAACTTTTTTTTTTTTTTTTTTTTTTTTTTTACCTTTCTGCCTCTTCTGGTACACCTGCTATTCTAATATTGTTATATTTAACATTGTCCCACAGCTCCCTTAAGCTGTCCTCCTGTGTTGGTGTTTTGTTTTGTTTTTGTCTGATTGATATTTTCAACTCTGTCTTCTAATTCACTGATTTGATCCTCAGCTTCTCCTAATCTGCTGTGTATTCCTCCCAGTGTGTTCTTAATTTGTGTTATGTCAATCTTTATCTCAGACTGTTCTTTTTTCATAGTTACTATATATTTTTTTCATGCTGTTGAGCATCTTTACCATCAGTACTCTGAACTCTGATTCATTTAAATTTCTTATCTCTACTTCATGTATCTATTCTCCTGGAGAATTCTCTACTTCTTTCACTTGCGGGTTGTTTATTTAACTCCTCATTTTGCCTTTTTGTTTGGGTTTGTGACTATGTATCACCTTCTCTACACCTTTCAATCTCTAGTGCAGGACAGCGTTTAAGGCTGTTTCTGACTGATTAGATCAGGAGAAGACGCAGCCTCTAGACTAGAGACTACCTCTGCCTACAAGACTGATAGGATTCTGATTTCAATTGCCCTCTAGGCAATCATCCTCAGGTGTGGCGAGAGTTGTTTTCAATAGGTTGGGACAGTTGCTTCTGCCCAGAGGCTAATTAATTTTAATCTCTTAAGTGGCCTCAGGGCAAGGTGTTTTCCAATAGGGTGTGAGGACTGTCTTCTCCCCAGGCAAGGTAGATGTCTATGTGGGAAAGATGTCCTCTGCTGTGTGAGGGAATAACCCAGTCCAGAAAACTTGAGGTGTCTGCCTTCTGAGCTCTATCCTCCAAGACCCTAGTCATGGCTTCTGCTCTCACAGCTCCAGTCCACTTCATGCTCCTCCTGCCGGAGCACAAGGAGGGTGGCTTCACCGGGAATTTTGTGTGTTGGCCCTTAAAGAGGTTGCCTGGATTTTCAGCTGTTCCTCTCTGGCAGGCAGCAGCAAACCCCCCCCCCCCCCCAGCTGCTTTTCACAGCCAGATGTCATGTGGGTACTCTCCTCAGTTTTGGGGGGCGGGGGGGGGGGGAAGGAGGGGGCAGAGGGGAGGAGGAGGAGGGACAGCTTGGGGATTAGATCCTAGAGTTCTCAGTGGCAACCCTTCACAGCTGAGATATCTCTCTTGGACTTCATTTGCTGTCCATGGGTGCCTGGCCAGCCGTGTTGCACTTCAGCCCCTCCTACCAGTCTCTATATGTGGTCTCCACTTTCAGTTCTTGGGTATTAGGGTTCTCTCCTGCGAGTTTTCTGTTGATTATTTAGCATTTTTTTCTTCTTTCTTTTCTGTATTTTAGTTATAATACCAGTTTAATCCTGGGAGCTTGTCTATGCAGCATCCACTTACTCTGCCCCCATTTTTATTTATTTATTTAAAATCTATTTTATTGATTTTTTTACAGAGAGAAAGGGAGAGGTATAGAGATTAGAAACATCAATGGATGAGAGAGAACCATCGATCAGCTGCCTCCTGCACACCCCGTACTAGGGATGTGCCTGCAACCAAGGTACATGGCCTTGCCTAGAATTGAACCTGGGACCTTTCAGTCCGCAGGCCAGCACTTTGTTCACTGAGCCAAATTGGTTAGGGCTGCCCCCATTTTTAATCTCCTATGAAAATGTTTCTTACATACCATTATATTCGCAGGGTCGCAAAAATTTGTTGTGGGCCTTGAATTTAACATGCTTGATTTACTATATAATATATAATTATTACAGATAAGGCTAATCATGAGCATATATAGTGCTTATGACATAGTGCCAAACTATTACTTCATTTAGAAATAAAATGTAAGCCATCTAGCACAAGGTTTGACTGGCAATAAACATTAATCATTGGTCATCATATCATCACCCCTACTGACTCCAAAGAACAAAGTCCTTTATTGCCTTGCTCTCTGGATGCAAAGTCATCTGTGGTTCACTTTCCCAGGTTAGGGAGATCTTGTGTCTCCTCTCAATCTTACGTCAGGTAACTTGACACTTCATCTCAGAGCAGATCCTGAACTTAGGCATCCATCCTGGTATCCATAGGACCTTTCAAGATTGGCTGGACCTGCAAGGCTGCTATCACTATGACAACTAAATCTGGGAAACACATCATGTGTAAAGCAGGAAGGGCTGGTCTCCCACCTGTTTCCTTAGCCTGAGTACATGTGAGGTTTTAGCTCAGCTCTGAAAAAAGTTAGTGGCACATGAGTGGCAAAGCCAGGATAACCTGAAGCCAGTTCACCCCTACTCCATTCTGTCTGTAGCCTCTGAAATATACTGTAAGGGGCACTCTGATCTCCACCTGTAGTTTTTAGAGTAGGAGAAAGTAAAGGTGATGAGTCTGGACAGAGGGGGCTCTGTGTGGGTATTGGGGGGGAGGATTAGCTTGGTTTGCTCTGTAGCATTCAGTCCTTCTAGTAGATAAAAAATAGCATGTTATCTACTCCTTTTCTTTAATTAAAACTTATAAAAATTTTATTAAATAATAGTTACATAAAGAATTATTTTAAAGTTTGAATTCATTCAGTCATTTATTAAATGTATGTTGTCTGCCTACTCTGTGCCAGCCACTAAAAGTGAGAAAAAGCAGAGGCACCCCCTACCCTCATCAAACATTCTTTTGTGAGAGAGCACCTGGACAGACAGGCAGTAAATAGAAAAATGCCTGGGGTTCTTGTTCTTCAGTTAAACTTAATTTAATGACATCAGGAATTTACTTCTAGCTATATCTAATGTTAATGTATACTTTATTTTCATGGTTGACACATTCATACGTACAGTGCCTTTACTTTTGGGAATAGGTTGGCATCCATATTTTTATTTTCCCTTATTAGTTCCTTTGTTTCTTTCTGTGTATGGCAGCTAACATTTTATCACTTGGTGTTGGTTTGTTTTAAAATTTTGTTCCCCCAAGCCCCGCCCCCTTTGCTGTTACGTAGTTTTGGTTCCACTACCTGTAAAGTGTTTCTAGGCTGGTCATGTAGTTCCATTGCATATCCTGTTCTATGTAACATTTAGATACTATTTAAGGTGATTTTAGATAATTTAAAAAATAATTATACATTTATATAGTCAATATAACAACATGAATAATATGCTACAGTTATTTTCAGTTGTGACTTCAAAAGCCTACCAATGTCATGTGCACTTGGGAAAATCATTTCTTATCCTTATCTTCCAGGTTCCAACAGTTTCACCCTTTTCTCTGTGCAGCCGATTTTAGAAAGCTCGCTTCCTTATATGGTAGCGATAAGTTTGATTTGCCCTACGGGACGAGGACATCAGGTCGGTAAAGCTATTCTCACCTTGCCGTGTTGAAAATGAGCGGTGTTTGATGTGAACGGCGTGTTTATATAAAAATAGGCCGTTTGATCTTTCTGTTTCATAATGATTTCTAAAGAATATTATTTTGGGATGGGAAGAGGGAATCCATTTTAGTATAGAACTCCGTTTGAGGCAGGATAGAATAAGAGGATTAAAAAGGTAGATTTTTATTGTTGTTGTTAAGACACTAATTTATACTTTTGTTCTGCCACCGCATTGTTAATGAGTCCCAACGCCTTATCTTATTCCAATTAGAATTAGCAGGACAACTCTGTGTGTTAACTTCCTCCCCATCTCCCACTTCACCTCTTTACTTGTGAGTTTTCTTTTACTTCATCAGCAAGTTCTAGCTCCTTGACTGAAGAGCTAGATTAAATTTTAAAAATTTAATCAGTGGGTGTTTTATTTTTGCTAAATTTAGAGAGAAATATTTCATCCACTAATAATGAGACACTTTCCCCTCTGCCTGATACCTGATTGGCTTACACAACTTTATGTTCTCCATTTTGGGGAGACTCTAAAAGCCCAGAAGGTGACAAGCCTACAGTTTTCTGACTTAAATTTTGCTTATTGATAGATTGATTGATTGATTGATTGTGTGTGTGTGTGTGTATGTGTGTGTGTGTGTGTGTATGTGTGTTTTAAAAGGGTATTGCAGAGAATTTGATAGGTAATTCAATAAGGATAAATTTGCTGCCTTTGATTTCTACACTGATTTTAGTTTCAGAATTATCTGATTCTGCTAATTTGGGGATTACTTTTTATGATTGTTTTCCCACAAAGCCCCTTATTTTTCATGTCCTCAGAGCATTGACCATTGTGATGTGCCTATTAAGTAGTGCTGGCTAAATGCAGTTGTATCATGAATCTTCATCCCAGGAGAAATGAAATGTAGCTACACCAGTTGTAATGGCTTTGGGGAACAAATAGAGGAAAAGGTGGCTTCCTATGTACCCAAGAAGCCACGATTCCTTTCACTCACAGAACTTCATTTGTTTTCTAGCGGAATATTTTCGACTTGCTCTTTCAAAACTGCAGAGCTGTGACCTCTTTGATGAGTTTGACAAGTGAGTTCATTTCCTTGCCTCTGTTTGACTTTTAGTTTTAGCTGAAGTGGTTCAAAACATGCACCCCGAGGTAAAATGTCATCACTTGGGAAAATTCCACAGCATTGGTACATAACTAAGACACCTAGAAGTGGTTTCTTGAATAAACAAACAACACTTGAAATAAACAAACTACAAAAATAATTTAGAAGCTTTGTAATGTAATTGGCTGGCTCAAACCTTTGCAGAAGTCATACGATGGGCGATACTAGTGCAAAGTCAGGGTGTTTTTAACCCACATTCATCTTTGCTAACTTGTTCCTGAAGAATTAACTCTCATCCCCGTTAATCAGCTCACAGCCTCACTCCCGGGCTGTTTCCCACACCCCTTCCCGTACATATTCTGACCTGTTCCTCAGGGACCTTTCTGTTTCATTTGAATATTGGGTTTCAGAAGCAGCTCTCTTCTTTTATTCAGAATTATATTTGAGCAAAGCAAACAGCTTGCTTAGATACACATTTTCTGACTACACACGATAATTTAGCTTTTAGAAAATTTTGATGTCAAGTTCACCCCCTAGAAATTGAATTGTCAGTGTAATCTATAGTGTGTTTTTCCCCCCCACACAAAGTTTTAAGCTACAGAGGGATGATATGTATAGTCTATAATGGTCTGACCTCCATTCAAAAGTAGAATGCAGAATTTCCCTTCTTGCACAAGAGAACAGAGGTGCTATTGGGAGCAGTGTGTATGTGGGGGGGAGGGGGAAAGGGGCGGTGCAGAAATAGGTTAGTGGACAGTGGTATGAAAATGAAAATAGAGTTTACATAATAGAGAGGGAGGAACAATGCTAGATTTTGACTGAGTTCATCTCACCTGCCTCTGTTGGATACCCGGATTATTGATGTGCGGATTATGTTCTATATGCTGGTTCATTTCAGTTTGTACCAATTACGATGCCATCAAACTATCTCAGTTTTGGTGTTTGATTGTCTACAACAACAACCAATATATTCTCCTTTCACCTAATGTTTAGATAGCTCTCACTTGTAGAATATTTTTTTGTGTAGACCTTGGCCATGCATCTGTGCTTTATGTCAATTCTCTCTAATTTTTACCACCACCCTGAAAAGTACCCTTGATGATCTCCATTTTAACTGGAGAGACTGAGGCTAGGCAGACAACCGTATGTGTTTGTTACACCTGCTAAATGCCCGAGCCAGGATGTGACCTAGATTGATTTATCCAGTGCCTAGAGTTCTGATTTACAAGTGATAATGATCATTCCTCAGATATTTGCAGCAAGTATCTGCGGATATTTGAAAAGATTCTTGGCCCTGTACATGTGAACTACTGACAGGAGACCGGAGGGTATGTGAATGAAAGTTTCCTTTCTGCTTTGTTTTTATCTTAGAACTAGAATGTGCTTGAGTTGCTTTCAGAACCTCTCAGGCACAGGTGTTTATCACGTATGCACTGGCAGGCTGCTGCTTCTCTGCTGACTTGTGCTTGTCACTCTGCCCCACCTCCCTCTCCCACCTCACCTCCCCATCACTGCGAGTGTCTCCCCCCCTACCCCCCTGCACCTCCAACCTCCAACTCGGGTTCATAGCATCTCCAGTGTTGGGAGGGAGGTGGGTATGTTGGTAAGGAGAGACTGGAAGTCATGCAGATTGCACAAGAATCCTTCAGTCTGAAGTCGAATAAATGCAGACAGAGACTCGACAGGTGGAGAGCGAATGGAAAACTCCATTTTGGATCCCCACAGAGTGGCATAGCCATGCACTCAGATACTCAGCATTGCTGAGCTGCTTGCTTGACATGTGCACACCTGTTCCCTGGAGACGATGTTTGGAAATTTGATAATGTTGGCTGAGTCAGGAAATGCCCAAACCTGCAGAGAATTTTTATGAGTTTATTTTGCCAAGCTGACAACAGATGCTGGAGAGCAAGATCTCAGCTGGTCTGGAGAAGGGCACTCTTGCAGTTTATTTTATACATTACAATCAAAGGAGATTTGTCCTTGCTGGGTAGTTCAATTAGAGTGTTGTCCCAATATACCAAGGTTGCAGGTTTGATCCCTGGTCAGGACACATCTAAGGATCAACCAATGAATGCATAGATGATCAGAACAATGGGTTGATGTTTTTCTCTCTCTTTCTCTCCCTCTCTTTTTTTTCTCTCTCTCTTTCTCCTCTTCTTTTCCTCCTCCTTTTCTTCCTCCTCTTCTTCCTTTACCTTCTTCCTCCTTCCCACCATGCCTCCCTCCCTTCCTCTCTCTCTGTCTCTAAAAAAAATTAATAATAAAAAAAAAATAAAGGAGATCTAAGAAAGGTGCATGAAATCCATTAGTAGTAGATTAAGGGGACAGGAGAAACATACTTTTGCATTCGTGGTGCAGGATAGTTAATAATGAACATTTATGGCACATACAGATGGTATGCAGGGAATAATATGACAATGAGGGTTCTGTGGTCTGGTGCTCTGGTGCCGGTGCCTGTGTCTTTGAAGGGTAAGAAAAGAAAATTACTCGGACATTTCAAAGGTATGTTATCCCAGATGCATAAGAACAGTGGACAGAGATCCACAAAGTGAGGATTGACCTTTGCTAAGGAAGCTGTAGGCCTGGTACGGGACTACCTGCTGTGACCTACCCAGTTAGGGATTTGGGATCGGACCATCCTGTGTGGTTACTTTTGGTCACTGGGCTTGTCAGGCCTGCATGTGGCCCCCTGAGCCTGTCAGGTTTATTGTAGAGCCCCCTTTTTGCCCACAATAAGAATATACCTGTGACATTATCTTCTCTTTGCATATTAACTTTTGAGAACAGGTAATAAATTTTACCTATGTTTTAAGAAAGTCATTCAATGTTTGTCTGGATCCCACTGTACAATACAAAGACAGTAACAGGCCAGCCTGGGCCTGAGCAATACATTGCAAATGTATTCCAGAAAGGCAGGTATGCCACCCTGCCTACTGCTGCCCAAGTCCATTCAGACTGTCCCCTGAGTGACCTGCATGTACCATTTCTCCTCCAGACCTTGCAAAACTGCTCTGGAAAAGGAGATCTGAGAACAGGCCCTCTTTCTCAGCCAGAGGATTTGACTGCCCCTGGTGGGGGAGTCGTCCCCTCTGGCTGCCTGTATGTGGAGGCTGGCCCCTGGGTGTGAGGAGGCAGCCTTGTTGGCCTGGGATCGCTCACTCTTTGTGCTGGGTCTGCAGGCCGGAGAGGAGGGACTGGGGTGTGGAGAGGCGAGAGCCATCTTTGCTCATCCCTTTTCCTTTGGCTGCTCTCTTCACCCATATGTGATTCTCCCTCCATTTCTTTTTGTTGTTGTTTCAAATCTGGATCCTTTGTGATCCCACCAGATATGACCCTAGCTTTGTTTAGTTACCTTATTTAGCGCGCATGATGCCCTCAGCTGTTGTAGGTTCCACTGGGAAATGGGAACACTCCGAATACCAGTCGCATTTACAAGACAGGAGTTTTGTTCTTTCTCACAGCTGTTGTGTAAATGTTAAGTTGGCAAAAGAACATTCCAGGACCAGCCCAGCAGCTGAGCATCAGGGACCGAGGCTTCTCCATTGTGACTCTGGATTTCTCTATACACAGTTTCCTCCTTAGGGTTTCCTCCTTGGGGTCTGCATTCTGGCCAGCAGGGAGGAGGGAAGGGAAAGACACGCCCCACCCAGTAAGGCTCAGTGGATAGAGCATCGGCCTGTGGACTGAAAGGTCCTAGGTTCGATTCCAGTCAAGGGCATGTACATTGGTTGCGGGCACATCCCCAGTAGGGGTGTGCAGGAGGCAGCTGGTCAATGTTTCTCTCTCATTGACGTTTCTAGCTCTCTATCCCTCTCCCTTCCTCTCTGTGGAAAATCAATAAAAATATAAAAAAATAAAAATAAAAAATGAAAGAAATCACATATACTACTTCATTGCATTCCTGTGAGAGCTGCAGGTCTTCCCAATGCCGCATTCCGTGCCATCAGGGTAGAAGCTTGAAATGACCTTTGGTGGGATGACTTATGCCATGGTGATTGGCAAACACTACAGACACAAACACCCCAAACCCTGGCCTCTCTCATCACCCTTCTCCCTCCCAAAGAGAACTGGTCGTTAAACATTTAGTAGCAGCCGCTGATTATGTCTGGTTGGCTAGGAATATAATGACAAAACCACATCTAGCTGTAAATATGACTGGGAATTGTAGCCTTTATTCCACCTGGCTGTATGCCCACCTTAAAAAACACACCGAAGAGTCCTATTTTACTGAACAAAAGAAACGTGATTATTGAAGGACAACTAGCAGCATTCATCAGCATTCTCCACATTGTCCTCGTCCCCACCTGGGAACCGTCAGGATTCTGAGTCAGTCACCTGGTAACTGGAGAGCAGCCTAGCCTGGTGCTGGAAGCAGCCGACGGTGGTTTCTCCCTTGGAGAATGGATACTCTGTGCAGACTGTGGAAACGTACTGGGGTTGTAAACCATTTTGAGGTGGCATCTCTCATGAAGATTTTACTTATGCCATCTTTGTAAGGTAGTAAAGAGAGAGCCTTTTTCTAAAGTTAAGACCATGAAGAACTTTGGGCCAGAAATAAAGAGCGAAGGGAACAGGAGTGTGTGTGTTTGGCCAAAAACGGTGTGAAAGAGCCTTGGAGCTGAAACAATTCCATGCTTGTTCTTTGCTCTCACCTCCTCCCTTCCACAGCCACTCCCCACTTCCCTCCCAAATAACCTCAACAAAAGCCGCGCGCGCGTGCGTGTGTGCGTGTGTGCGTGTGTGCGTGTGTGCGTGCGTGCGTGTGTGTGTGTGTGTGTGTGTGTTTTCCCCCAAAGCTTTTTTGTCACCTAGTAATGATAATAATTTGCTTCCTTTTAGTAATCACCTCTGTTGGAAAAACATTCACATTTTAGAAAATTGCCTTTCCCCCTAATTTTTATCTGTTCTATGTGAAAAGATATACAATAGGACATGTGCATTACCCATTTTATTTAATTTAATGAATCTCTTTGGTAT